ACGCATGGGTGGGACACGAACCAATTGGCACCACCGTGCTCGTGGCAATCAGCATGTCAGTCTCCCGCAGCCAGCTTGAGTTCTGGCTTAACGGCTTCATGGCTTGTAAACAAACAAATTGGTAGAGGCCGGGGCTCACGTCCTGAGGGCATTGATCAAAAACCGTCCACACTTGATATTTGCCACTGAAATGGCTTCCCCCAAAAAAGTCTAGAGTCCGTGAACTCGGGAAGTCAGCGGGCACCAATTCTGGGACCCTGGGTTGACGGCATCCACCCGAAACCCAATGCCAAGATGCTGCACCAGGTCTGTCTTCCCTGCTGCCTGAGCTTCCGCCCTGGCCCTGGTGGCTTTGGACACCTGGCCAGACGCTGGAAGCACCACGCGCATGGATTCTTATCAGGGACCTGTTTAGCCGCCCTGTTGCCCCATGTTGTTGGGTTCCCCGCTGACAATGGAGTCGACCCCAAAACAAGGAAGCTCTGGTGGACGGAACTACTTGGGAATCCGACTTTTTCAACTTCACAGCCACATGCGGTCAGTTGAAACTGAACAACGCAAGCCATGCCCAAGCGCGCTCGGGATCGCCGGGGACGGCTCTCCCAACTCCGCCCCGCTTAATTTGAACAAGGGCCATCCCCGATCAACCCGTGGAAAAAGGCCCACAGCCTCGATGGACAGGAAGAGGGTGAGGAAATTCCGAATGCCGAAGCCACCTCAAGAGGTGTCACATGCTCTCTTAACAAGTCTGAACATTTTCTTGAACTTGCACGACTGGAGGGTTTTGAAAGACAGCTATGCTTCTCCAAAGGCATCAAGCATGCACTTCATGATTCTGGGATTGTTGGAAAAAGGGGAGCAACCCGAGGACTGGTCCCAGTCCTGAAATGACACGAAACATGCTTAACCCACGGTTGTTTAAGCCGCCTCGCTTGTTCGCTTTCCTTCAAAGGACTTGGGACCACGGGCTCCTTACTCGCCGGAGCTGAGCCCAGCGCCGCAGCCAGCCTTGATGGGCCGCGCCTCGCCAGTGACCTCAGCTTTTGCGCGTCAACTGCAAGCCACGGTTTGGCGCCGCCGGGGCTTTCGGCCCCCCCACTCCCTGGAGAGCACATGTGGGACCCCAAAAAACCTCACCTTTTGGACCCCAAAACGACTCACCATAAGATCCGTAAACTCCTAGGTTGTTGTCGCATTGCTGCCAAACTCCCATACCTCGGATCTTGGTGGTATATGGTACAACATGCACCCGCGACAACATGTTCGACTGCAGTCCATGGGTAAGTGTTCCACCATAGACCAGGTGCAATAGCTTCCCAACCCTTGGTATGGTTGCTTTAAAAAAAAAAGTGTTTTGTTGGCAGCCCCCTAGTAAAAATGGACAGACGATCAACAAGTGTGTTGCCGAGAACAGTGAAGATACCATTGACACGGTTCAGATTCGAGCCATGGGCCAACCTTACAATGTAAAAACAACAAGTTTTTTGAGAGGTTACGATGAACGCCTTCTGCCAAGCAACCGGGTCCTTCTTGTCGGAGCACACCCGCCTCAGCAAACCACGTATATGTCTACAGGCGGCGTCAGAGTATGTTCCACGCAAACGTTGCATGATTGCAAGAAGTATATCTTAAATGGCCATGATTTACTGCAATTCGTGATCCTCCCATCAAGGGGGAAGGCAAATTACTGGGAGCTGTGAATCTCAATTGGCATCTTTTGGTGGACATCATTTACACGGGGATTTGCTTCCATCAAACATGTCCATCCGTCCCTATTGGAATGCGTAGCCTCGCTATTTTGGAGGAGGCTAAGAGGCAAAACTGCTTGCATGGCAAATGCTTGAAAGAAGCGGTTTTGATGATTTGCCCACGTTCGTGGGTTCAAGGGCCCTCTTCGAACCTGGTGGCAAAAAAAAAATGCCCTCAACTGTTTGTTGGGCAAGACTGCCCACGGTTTTTCCAACACTGTTTCCAAGAAAACTATTCCACCGCAAAAATCCGGGCCAAAGAGCAGCCAGTGCGCTCCTAAGTCTACACTAGAAAACCTCCGACGCCATTTTTGAGCGGAAAGCGGCTGGATGAACTCGAGGAAGGGCGCCTCCTCGGGTGTGCCGTCTTTTTGTGGCAGAGCGACCCTTCCCGGTTCTTGGCAAGCGCTTTGGCGTGTTGGCCTGTTTTTCGTTCTGTCCATTTTTGGTAGGCTGCAAAAAGCCGACCTATTTTTGTTTGCAAGCATACTGAGGGTTGTGAAGGACCTCTTGCCGTTTAAAGGGAACTGGGCACCAAGCCTTGTGGGGGGTCTGGGCGGGGTTCCCTACTTTGGGACACACCCCAATGACAAGCAGGTCAGGGACAGCGGTTCCCTGCCGCAGGAACTTAAAAAAAAGGTACCCAACTCCAAACACATGCCCCACCTTGGCAGGGTCGGCTTTAAAAGCCCCAGCCCCAGTTTCGAAGTCCTCGCCAGCCGCACGCTGAAGGATGCTGTTGGTGAAGATCTGCAGCAAAAGGTCATCGCCCTGCACCTAAGGCAAAACATGCAGCGCAGCCAGCGTGCAACTTTTCCGGAAACTGTTTCACTTCCCTTTCACATCGATGTTTTGATGTTTCGAGGCCCTGTACCGCCTGCACCCTCTAAACCGGCACACACCGGTGGAATGGAAGGCACGCAACGCAGGTAAGGGAACAAGAGCCGCCTCACACAAGGTTCCCACCCCTGAGAAATCTGTACATCCGGAGTTCTAACAAACCTCCAATGATGGACGGATTCCTTTGCCTTTCCTTGCTCAATACCACTCTGGCTCGCTTGCTTGCCGGGTGTCATCAACCAGCACGTTGTTGCGCACGATGCGCAGGTATGCGTCCTGCCGCACATGTCAGCCCACTAGCTCTTTTGAGCATCCCGCGCTCCCTCTCCTCGCTGATGTGGTCTCTGAGCAGCGCGTGGAGGTTGCCGTAGCGGGCACGCATGACATGCTCCAGCAGGTCCTGCCAGCCGAACACTTTGTCTCCCCCTTGCTTGCCGGTTCCCAGCTGGGAAACAGAAATGAAATGACCATGAAAAGAAACATCCTTGCTGGTGATTTCCTTTATTCGGGAATACCCAAACGATTCATTCCCAACACCTCGACTCGTTGTCATTCCCTACCTATCGCACGAGCAAGCTTGCTTGTCTCGAATCAACACCCACCAAAGTTCCCTCCTGTGTTGGATAACCTTTCAGCGCCAAGAACAAAGATCAGTTCTCCGGCGGCTCTGTTTACAAGGGCAGTTTCCCCTAGAAAGCAGCCCCTCAAAAGCAAGGGCTAAAAAAAATACACCCCCCCACATAGGCGTCCTTTTTGGGAAAATAGATGGCCCTGGTAGTTGATTGAACCACCAGGTAAACCAGGGCCCTCAGTTTTTGAACCAAAACAACCAAAAAGGACACCCGCTCACCCTGGGCTCCTTGCTGTCGCTGGGCAGAGCCTCCAGGACCCGCTCTCGCGAGACCTGGGGGCGGCTTGGAGCTGCTTTTTTCTCCACACTGGCCCTCCCACGAGCATGGCGCCTGACAAGGGGCCCTCTGCACAACAGCACCAAAGCAGACCGCCAAAGAGCAAGTGAGCGTCTTTCCATTCGGTTGCAAGCGGAACTGACAGGACCGACTTGGTATGGTTTAGTTCCATTAGGCCTCTGAGACGGCACAGTCGAACCTGAGAAGACAACAAAGGAGCTTGCAAATTGTTGTTTGCTTCTGGTCTATGATTTTGCATAGAGTGGGGCATAGCTAAATAAGCAACCGAGAGTGTCATTCTGTATTTAAATAATGTTTGATTCTGATATGCCTCTTGACTGCTTGGGGTTTGTGACGTGTCACATGACATTATAACTAGGCTCACACACAATGAAACAATATGTTCCAGCCAAACATGTCTTTGTAAGAAATCACACCTCTGACAACATTGAGAAATAAGCAACAAACCTACCCACATCCATGTACATGTACATAGAGATCTCGAGTTGCTTTTCTTTGGAAGGACCAAGCCTCCCCCCCGAAAAAAATAAAAATAATTTATTTAAAAAAAGAAACGCTGCAAGCCACAAAAAAAAAAAAAAGCTGCAGGCGGGATGGCCGACTTGGGCCCCCGGCATCCAGGTCCAGAATGTCATTGGCGTCCACCAGGCCGGCGCCTCTCAGCGCGGCCACCAGCTTCTGGGCTGCGGGCTCCTCCAGCCCGGAGACCCTGCAGAGGTACCTCGGCGGGGAACGGATTTGTGGGGAGAGGAACCGGAAGTGGGGATTCCCGGAAAGGAAAAACCAGTTGGATGGTTTAAATTGGGGCCATTCCATTTCTCATTCCCTGAGCACCAGCAAGGATCTCGGCGTTTGCGCCTCCAATTTGGGTTGGACTGAAGGTGGTTGCTTGCCTCTGGCCATGCAACCGCGCAATGTCAGCCTTGGAATAAACAAACACCTGCTACATTGTGACCTCTTTCATGTCAGGACAACTCCAAATTCTGGTCCTGCGAAGCAGTACGCATCATGGGTACAAAGTGAAAAGCCCTCTTGCGTGGGCGATGCATCTATCAATCGGGGGATTTTTCGAATTGGTGTGGCCCCCGATCAATCCGAAGCCTGGCTGGAGTCGGGCCTAGCAGTAAGGCTGCCATAGTAGGACCGCGGGATTGACAGGAACGACAGGCCAGCGCCAGTGATCTTTCGCATGTCGTTGGCTTTCTGCACCAGAGCGGGCAAGTCCTGTGCATTGCAAGCGTTGCGGTTCTTCCACGCAGGGAGTAACAGCAGGGGAGCGACAATAAGGAGAGAACAATTGAAGCAACCAGAATGGTGCCCAGCTGGACAGCTGAACTCATGTTTCGCCTATGGAAAGGACACGTGGTGAAAATCCATGCTTCCCTCCTGGCCTCTCGCCAAGATGCCACTCTCGGTCAAAACTGGCAAGCTCAGAAACGCGGGGCAATGCGGTGTGGCCGGTCCTCAACTCTGGACGCGATGTGCTGAACTCCCTGTCCAATCTCCTTGAGGTAAAGGTGCACATGGCCAACCTCTGAGAGGGCATTGTTGATTGGCAGGTACACCTGGCGGATGTGCAACAGCCTTGTGCGTGCAAAGGGAGCAAAAAAGCGGAGTATTTTGAATCATTACAAGAAGACAAAGCATGGGCCGCTCCCAAAAGCGCTGCCTTAGGGTGGGCTTGTCAAGTCCGAGTGGGTACCCGGTTTTGGCATAAGGGGAAACACTTTTTCGGTTACAAAAACCCACAATCCCTCAAACCCACAATCCTGAGGTCCTTAGGTGTGGATCAAACACAAAACGGTAAACCACTCCCAACCTTCATCTTGAGATTGGTTTCTGAAACCATGATCTCACTACTTCCTTTCGTGTAGCATTTGCCCTCCAAACGACTGACATGGAAGTGCACAAACCCCTGTAACACGACTGGCTCTGTGCACTTCCATGTTAGTTGGAGGGTAGGTGAAATGTGCCTTCAAGTTATCGCAGCACAAACCCGACATGGAAACCAGGGCTAAACCCCAATTGTCCAATTTCCGGTGTTTTTCTTGAAATAAGTCTGACCAATACCCATGCAACAGCACTGACCTCTCTCTCTCTTCCTCTCCTCATCCCTTCTCCGCGCCTGGCTCTGGTCCTTCAGCGCCTTCTGCGGGTCAGGGATCACGGTGCCGGGCTCGTTGCCCGTGACCGTGGACTCGATCTGCGCCTCCCCTGCGGCCACGACCCCCGCGTTGAAGTCCACCTTGGGGGTGAAGCCTAAGGTCTCCTGGCGCCAGAAAATCACCCAGCCCATGGGCTTGTGCCGTTTCTTTTGACGGTGCCAAGATGTGTGGTAGAGGTGAAGCCCAACGAAACATCGCGTGGCAAAATTTGGGGGTCAGAAGAAGACACACTCATCTAAATATGGGACACATTGAACCAAGGGACCGCAGGTTGTAGGCAATGTTTCCACTTACCAGGGCAATCATTTCGGGTACCTGTTTTTCACACACTGCAAAAATCACCAGACCCCCCTCCAGACCCCCCCCCCCACCATTCAAGGCCTCTTTTTCAACTCACCAAACCGTGGCCCCCCTTAAGGAGAATCCCCCCCTCCACCATTCAAGACCCCGTGTTCAAACCACCAAACCCTGGCCCCTTAAAGGATAATCAAAAGGAGTTTGTTCGAACAATAGAAGTTTCAACATGTTTGAGCAAATGGTTGGCCCAACCTTGCACACCAAATATCCCGACCATACAGCCTGAGGCAAGCAACGCAATGCCGTTGTCGAATTTCAGGCCTAAAAAGGACACCATCCAAGGCCCAAAGGGGAAAGAAACACGAGATTTCCCAACCAAACATGGCACCATTCAAGGCCTAAGGGGGAAACACACATGAGATGTCTCGCCCAAACACCGCCCAATTCGAGGCTGAAGGCTTAAGGGAAACACACTCACACATGTCTAAATGGAAAGCGGGTACTCCAAGGCGTGACCCGTCCAAGGAGATTACACATGGAAACTTGACCTGACATGCCAATACCCCCATGTGCTCCGTGCACCACAAACATGTTGCCTCCTGACCCAGCTCTCCAGTTTCCCAAGGATGTCCTTTTTGGGTTGATTCCACCTTCCTTTTGTAGGGGATCAAGCTAAAAAGGAACATAAATGATGCTGCAGCTTCCAGGATGGCGGTTTAGCCAAATCGAGGTTGTTGCAAGTTTCCCGTAGAACGGAATGTCCTGCCTGGTTTCCTATGAAGGGGGCAACCCAGAATGTTGAAAGCAGATGGGGATCGAGTTTCTCGCTGTTGCCCGCACTCCGGGAAAGCGGCCTCCCCCAAAAACCCCCGGTCCGGGCCTCCAGCGTGTCCAGGAAGCCCCGGCGGCTCACCACGTTGCTCACCCAGTGGTCGCAGTAGGCCGGCACGGCGGAGCTGTCGAAAGCGGCAGCCGTGGGCTTCAGCCCGGGCAACACCCAAAAGTCCGCATCCTCGGGTTCAAGCGCGTGTTCCGGGCATTCGAGGTTTTCGGGCATGGAGGTGTCCCACTGGAGGTTACTACTTATGTAAACAAGGGGTAACACTTTGGAGGTGGACCACTGGAGGTTATGTACCATTTATGTAGGGGGTAACGCCTTACAAGCTTATATTGGTGGCATGTAAGCCTCCATGCCTCCATACACCAGACCTTCAAATGCCCTTGAGGGTGCGGAGAATCTTTGCCAAACACACTTAGGAAAGTTCACTTGCTTGCCAGTTGGAGGAAAGCAAGCTCAAATGACAGGTCCCCCAAAAAAAACACCACCCCACCAAGAGGAAACCAACCTTCTGGCCGAAACAGTGACATTTTGAATCACCCGAACCCATGTCCTCAGCTCCCTCCACAAAGCGGAGCACCGTGCCAGGATCCTGGTCGCTGGTGCCCGTCTCACCCTGGTAGTAGGCGAAAACCTCCAAGATCCTGGGCCAGGCGATCGAATCGACCCACAAAATTGGCTGGAGTCGGCTGCATGTCAACCAACAAGTAAGCAAAAACACATTTTAAGCTGGTCACCTTAAAATTTTGGTGGAATCCTGACCTGAAAGGCAGAAATTGTTGAACATGAGGAGAGAAGGCTAAAACATGGAGAAGGAAAAAAAGAAAAAAAGGTCAGCTAAGTCTGGCAATGGATCTTTGCCCCTGGGTACTCCTTTGGCATCCCCTCACGCAAGAGCTTTGGATGCTTCTCTGCATACCTCTTGCAAATCCCATCTAGCTCGCCCGGCTTGACCTTGAAGCCCAGCACGGCAATGCCTGCAGGTGGCCATTCAACCTCCGGACCTCCTGGTTCAACCCTGTTATTTAACTTGTGTTGCAACCACACCTGAGGGTTTCTCCCCTCCAAGCCCTCGATGGTTGGGGGAGGGAGAAATCTGGTGATTTGGCCCAACCCGCAAGCCATGCCTTGCCGTCCTGCCCGATGCTGGGCAAAGCGCTCCAAGTGCTTTGCGTCCAAATGGTCGAAGGCCTCGGTCTTCTGCCTCTTGGCCGGGCTCTCGTTGACCTGCCAAACGATGCACCCCCCAGGCTTCACAAAACCGTCGACTCAGGTCCCAGCCTGTTTTGTTGACCCCGGATAAATACTCAGCTTTGCGAATATCCGAAGTCACCCAGATTCCTTCTGAAATGGGACACGCCTGCATTGATCAAGACATGGACTACCATCCTCCTGCAACGGCCCCTCGACCACTTCCACAATTGTTGGGGGTTTGCATTCTACAAGTAGGTGCGGGGGTCTGACAAATATAGCCATCCAATTTGGAGAAAATTGCAGACTACTGGCTATTATGTTGCTTCCACGCTTTTGTTTAAAGACAAACCTGCTTCGTGACCTCCGCCCAGAAGAAACGTTTTTTTGCTTGAGCCACCTTGTCGTGGGCGGTGATCACGAACTTCACGCCCTCAGCATCCTTGCTGGTCACCACCATGGTGCGGGTGTCACTGGTCTGCCCGAATCCTGTGACCCGAAAGCCCAGGCCCACCAGCATCTGCTCCACCACGTCCTGGCCGTGGCCTCTCCACCTCAGTGTCTCTCAAAATGAGGGGGAACCTGAAATGAGGGGACCCCCAAAAATCGCTGGTGTCCTTGGAAACCATCCCGAAGCAATCAAAATGACTCACTCTTGCGCCCTGTTTGTTTGGAATTTGTTTTTAGTGACTCCGCATGTGGGGCCTCCTCTTTTGGGGCCTGGTCTTAAAAAATATGGCCCTTTCCACATTTCCAAATGTACAGGGATATGGAACGGACATTCGACGATTCCAATCGAATCGGTTATGCATTCCCACTTGCCCAGCGACCCGGTAGAACAAGACTTGGGGTGCATTTTCACAGACCCCCCACAAAACAAGAAGGGATTTAGAGGTCGGTGCCGCTGAACAACTGGAGATGACGAACTTGTCCGCTTCAGTGGCTCTGAAAGGCCATTGTAGTCCAATGACACCACTGTTCCACCCCATGGGGGTTCAACCCTCACACCTTGCTTCAGTTTGCCCAGCAACCACCCCCCCCAACAAAAAAAAACACTGAAGCGGCCTTTTCGGTGCGCGTTTTTTAACCCCTACACCATTGGGGACCGCAACAATTTCGCACCCAATTCCCCGGATCTGCGCTGACAGGGTGCTGCGCTGGATCTGTCCCCACTGCCTCGGGCCACGCGTGTGCGCGCATGCTCTCGTCCATGTTCCTCTTGAGACAACCTTCTGGCGCATGGAACCCACCACCAGGGCCGATTCTTTTTAAAGTCTAGAGGAAAATCGGTTTTTGGTCACCCACCTTTGTCAGGTTCCATCTTGGTTGATGCTGAGGGCGGGGGAGCGGGGCGCTCTGTGGATCGTGCTCGAGGCCCGGGCAGGCTTGCCATCCCAGAGCCGCAGCCAAGTCTGCCGCGCAGCGGCCAAGTCGCCGCACCCGGCGTTGAATTCGTTGAGCTTGCTCTCCAGGCTCTTGTACCTGTGGCTGAGACATGCGCTTCATGTAACCAACACAAACATTTGGAGTGGCTGAAGAAATGGGGGTGAGCGCCTGCCAACGGTGCTTGAAAGAAATCTCAAAAGAAAACGCTGTCACCAGTGACCCATGTTGAGAGACTCCCATGCGAACTCAGTGGGGTTGTTCAAACAAACACATGTGCAATAGGTCACGTGCACTGCGCAGAGCCCATTCTGTCAGCCATGGTCACGGCTCTCTCTTCAAAGGAACCCCCATGTCCCAACTCCTTAGGGATGACGGCCTTCCCTACCAAGCAAAGGGCGGGAATTTGACCACAGCGCACCCCACCAAAATGGGATTAAAAGGTTGGCCTTTAGGCCGTCCTATCCAAATTCTAAGTGGCATGCCTTACAAATGGCCAGGCTTGGGCGCTCCAAAGTTCAGCCTGAGCACTCCGAGAGCTCCTTCAACTCGTCGCAGTAGATGTGGACATGGGAGAAGCTCACTGACCTCATTCCAACCTTTTGGACAAGCCGAAGCCGTGGGGTTTCTTAAAAACAACAACATGGAACCTGCAAGAGGCCCACTGCTAGAGGAAGATGATCTTGCAGTGGGGGAAGGCTTTTCAGGTTCCGTGTTTGTTTTAGGATGGAATCCAACAACAAGGCGCCCAAAGTGACTTCGAGTAAGAATGCAGCTGCGCCCCACGCAATCAGCCTCCCATGCCCTTCTGCTCAGTGGCATGGCTGTCCGTGAGCGAAGTTGCTGCCTCACTCCGGCAAACCTGGGCTTGCACGGACTACTTCAATCAACAGGGCAAACATGCAGCCCCTGCACGGATTCGCTGGCATCCTGCAACTCAATAAGTCGTCTCCGGATTTACCAACCTGCTGCGTTTCACGGAGCGATTCCCCCAAATGAGATCTGGATTCCCTGTTGAATGGGTTGCCTCGAGCAAAACAACCAGTGGTCATTTGAGGCAAGCGACGCGCTGGGAAGGGCGTAAAACAGGAAGCCGAGGGCCAGTCCAGCCGGTAGCAGACTCCTTCTCATAACTAGCCCTGAACCATCATGGCTGCGCAAAACCATCTGTGACGGCCATAAATGATGAAACTGTGCTTTAGCAGCTCAGCTTTGGTAGGTAAAGCAAACCATTTACCCTCCTAAAAACAAACATGGCAAAGCATGGGAACACAAGAGAAAACATGCCTTCCAAAAAAATGACCTGCGCACGAACCATGTTTCAGGTGGCAGGGTCGCCCAAACAAGTTGTGTCCTAACCAAGCGGTCGGGGCCGGGGCCTGGGCCGGAGCTGGCGGCGTCAATGCGCCCTCCAAGCGCCCCAGCACCTGAGGGAAAAAATTCAGCACCGCGCGTGGCAACGCATGGCAACCCGTTCCAGCGGCCTGAGTTCACGGATGTCCAACCCCCTCCCCCTCCCCCTGGCCACGGCGAATCAAATCTTGCTAAGTTCAGGCTTGAGTTTGGGGAGGCTGGAGGGGCAGGGGCGGGGGGGTTGGATCCAAAAAGAGATGCCCTGAGTGGACAGACCAGCAGTGGTGCACCATAGGCGGCCAGTGCAACATCCTCAGAGCAATTCAGCAGCGCCTTGGCACGGTGACTGCAAGAAGTGCATGCCGCACACCAAACAAACAATTCACTTAAGCTAAGCGATTGGTGGCCCTTGTTCAAACACGCAAACATGTTTAACCCACTAATTGTTGTTTAAACTAGTGCAGCTTCCCCAAAAATAGTATGCCCGAGACGGGAAAACTTTTGTCCCAAGCATTGCCAGGCGAGCATTCGGATGCCAAACTTGAGTCTTCCTAACCTCCGCAGCTATCTCATCTTGCTCTATTGCATTGAGGCAGCCTCTCAAAAACGGAAAGCTGAAACCGCCCGGCAGCTCACTTCTCCATCGACTTGCGCCTCTCGGACTGCAGGTACAGGGTGATGAGGATCGCAAGGGGCACCACCAGGGTGACGATGTTGGCCCACCAGCCCGGGGTAGACACCTCCAACGCAGTCGAGATGGAAGTCTCCAGCTCCAAGGCTTCTGGCACCGCCGACCGCGCCGTGCGCAGGGAGCTTGTGGTAGCCGGCTGCCCCCCAAACACAAATGAAGGCGCAGCGCAAAGCAGCACGAAGGCCGCAGCCAGGAGGGTAGGCAGCAGCACCAACTTGGACGACATGGCCACCGAGTCTCTGAAGTGGGTACCCTGCTACTCTGCGCTTGGGCCGACGCTTGCCACACTCCCTGCTCCAACAACCCAAGCTCTCCACAAAGCATGCAATGAAATTCCATTTCAATAGGAGAGTGCTGAAAATTCAAAACCCATGATGCAAACATTCAGGCATTCTGCGAGACGCCATGTCAGCCTCTTCTGCTCCTGTCAGTCATGCCTTCTTCAAATCCAGCAGGCTTTCAACTCACAGCACAATTGTCGCAAATAGCTCGGCCCCAACTTTTCCAATCGCCCTGCACCTTGTCACAGAGCGGTAGCACCTAGTGCTGGACTTGAGTCGCAGCAAGTGCCAACCTCCAGGAATCAAAAACAGCCCGGGCATCATGAAATGCTGCAGCAGCTCACTTCTCCATCGACTTGCGCCTCTCGGACTGCAGGTACAGGGTGATGAGGATCGCAAGGGGCACCACCAGGGTGACGATGTTGGCCCACCAGCCCGGGGTAGACACCTCCAGCGCAGTCGAGATGGAAGTCTCCAGCTCCAAGGCTTCTGGCACCGCCGACCGCGCCGTGCGCAGGGAGCTTGTGGTAGCCGGCTGCCCCCCAAACACAAATGAAGGCGCAGCGCAAAGCAGCACGAAGGCCGCAGCCAGGAGGGTAGGCAGCAGCACCAACTTGGACGACATGGCCACCGAGTCTCTGAAGTGGGTACCCTGCTACTCTGCGCTTGGGCCGACGCTTGCCACACTCCCTGCTCCAACAACCCAAGCTCTCCACAAAGCATGCAATGAAATTCCATTTCAATAGGAGAGTGCTGAAAATTCAAACCCATGATGCAAACATTCAGGCATTCTGCGAGACGCCATGTCAGCCTCTTCTGCTCCTGTCAGTCATGCCTTCTTCAAATCCAGCAGGCTTTCAACTCACAGCACAATTGTCGCAAGTAGCTCGGCCCCAACTTTTCCAATCGCCCTGCACCTTGTCACAGAGCAGGTAGCACCTAGTGCTGGACTTGAGTCGCAGCAAGTGCCAACCTCCAGGAATCAAAAACAGCCCTGGCATCATGAAATGCTGCAGCAGCTCACTTCTCCATCGACTTGCGCCTCTCGGACTGCAGGTACAGGGTGATGAGGATCGCAAGGGGCACCACCAGGGTGACGATGTTGGCCCACCAGCCCGGGGTAGACACCTCCAGCGCAGTCGAGATGGAAGTCTCCAGCTCCAAGGCTTCTGGCACCGCCGAGCGCGCCGTGCGCAGGGAGCTTGTGGTAGCCGGCTGCCCCCCAAACACGAATGAAGGCGCAGCGCAAAGCAGCACGAAGGCCGCAGCCAGGAGGGTAGGCAGCAGCACCAACTTGGACGACATGGCCACCGAGTCTCTGAAGTGGGTACCCTGCTACTCTGCGCTTGGGCCGACGCTTGCCACACTCCCTGCTCCAACAACCCAAGCTCTCCACAAAGCATGCAATGAAATTCCATTTCAATAGGAGAGTGGTGAAAATTCAAACCTATGATGCAAACATTCAGGCATTCTGCCAGACGCCATGTCAGCCTCTTCTGCTCCTGTCAGTCATGCCTTCTTCAAATCCAGCAGGCTTTCAACTCACAGCACAATTGTCGCAAGTAGCTCGGCCCCAACTTTTCCAATCGCCCTGCACCTTGTCACAGAGCAGGTAGCACCTAGTGCTGGACTTGAGTCGCAGCAAGTGCCAACCTCCAGGAATCAAAAACAGCCCGGGCATCATGAAATGCTGCAGCAGCTCACTTCTCCATCGACTTGCGCCTCTCGGACTGCAGGTACAGGGTGATGAGGATCGCAAGGGGCACCACCAGGGTGACGATGTTGGCCCACCAGCCCGGGGTAGACACCTCCAGCGCAGTCGAGATGGAAGTCTCCAGCTCCAAGGCTTCTGGCACCGCCGAGCGCGCCGTGCGCAGGGAGCTTGTGGTAGCCGGCTGCCCCCCAAACACGAATGAAGGCGCAGCGCAAAGCAGCACGAAGGCCGCAGCCAGGAGGGTGGGCAGCAGCACCAACTTGGACGACATGGCCACCGAGTCTCTGAAGTGGGTACCCTGCACTCTGCGCTTGGGCCGATGCTGGCAGCTTGGGTTGACTCGCCACTGTGGGTGATGGTGAACAAAGCCCGAAATTGTTTGTTTAGAAAGACCTACGAGCTTTTCAGGGGAAGGGAGCGTGCCTCGAAAAGGTGCAAAAGTTCTAGAAAGCTGAAACAGCCGGTTCAGAACTTGATGAATTACACGCAGACACATTTGTGCGGCATTTCAGCATGTTTTTTTCGACGCAAGTATAGCCGGTGTCCTAACATCCGCACGGCCTACCTCTGGCGCAAACTCAGCCTCTCAAAAACGGAAAGTTGAAACGGCCCCTGCTCACTTCTCCATCGACTTACGCCTCTCGGACTGCAGGTACAAGGTGATGAGGATCGCAAGGGGCACCACCAGGGTGACGATGTTGGCCCACCAGCCCGGGGTAGACACCTCCAGCGCAGTCGAGATGGAAGTCTCCAGCTCCAAGGCTTCTGGCACCGCCGAGCGCGCCGTGCGCAGGGAGCTTGTGGTAGCCGGCTGCCCCCCAAACACGAATGAAGGCGCAGCGCAAAGCAGCACGAAGGCCGCAGCCAGGAGGGTGGGCAGCAGCACCAACTTGGACGACATGGCCACCGAGTCTCTGAAGTGGGTACCCTGCACTCTGCGCTTGGGCCGATGCTGGCAGCTTGGGTTGACTCGCCACTTCAGGGGAAGGGAGAGTGCCTCGAAAAGGTGCAAAAGTTCCAGAAAGCTGAAACAGCCGGTTCAGAACTTGATGAATTACACGCAAACACATTTGTGCGAAATTTCAGCGTGTTTTTTCGACGCAAGTATAGCCGGTGTCCAAACATCCGCACGGCCTACCTCTGGCGCAAACTCAGCCTCTCAAAAACGGAAAGCTGAAACGGCCCGGCAGCTCACTTCTGCATCGACTTACGCCTCTCGGACTGCAGGTACAAGGTGATGAGGATTGCAAGGGGCACCACCAGGGTGACGATGTTGGCCCACCAGCCCGGGGTAGACACCTCCAGCGCAGTCGAGATGGAAGTCTCCAGCTCCAAGGCTTCTGGCACCGCCGAGCGCGCCGTGCGCAGGGAGCTTGTGGTAGCCGGCTGCCCCCCAAACACGAATGAAGGCGCAGCGCAAAGCAGCACGAAGGCCGCAGCCAGGAGGGTGGGCAGCAGCACCAACTTGGACGACATGGCCACCGAGTCTCTGAAGTGGGTACCCTGCTACTCTGCGCTTGGGCCGATGCTGGCAGTTTAAGCTGGCTTCTCCGTTGCGACGGTTGGGTTTGCGCCTTGGCTAGGGAGCGCCCCCAGTTGACACAACCAAGAAGTCTTCTGACGCAAAGAGATCGGCACGGCTGTGACCCTGGCGCGCAGTCGCGCAACGGGAGGATCAGCCCCTCTGAGCCTGCGCGGACCGGCACCACGTGGGCATCCGTCTGTATCATGTCAACTTCGGATAAAACTATGCAGGACCGCACCAACCCCGTTTAAACTGGGGGGATGCACTCAACTCATTGTTGCGAGATTTCTTTGAGTTTGGGGAGATTCCTCTGATTTCTTCATTCGATTCTTGCGAATCCGAAGCTGACAAGGGCATCGCTACACTCGCCCTTTCCAGCCTGGATAAAGTAAAGCTCGCATCCTGAAACGAGCACGGAAGGCTTCTCACTCGCCTCGCCTCCCTCGCGGCACTAGCTTCTGGGGCGGCGGCCGAGGACCTCAGCATTCGCCAGGAAGGCCAAAGCAGGTCTCCAACTTCTTTGACGTCTCCCACTTTTCCAATTGAATCAAAGGATGACGAAATACATATCCATACTGGCAATACCCATGACTATTTTGGAGCCCCTAAGTCTCCAAGGTTGATCGAACAAAGCGATGCAAGTTTACAAAGCCTTCGAAAGGCTTGGCTCTGAGGGGGAAGGAGCAGGAAGGGAATCAAAACTTGTCCAACACAATTCGAGAGATGCATAGCTGCAATGCAGCCAGCTCGCCTTTCCTTTTTTCACTCGGTGGGGAACAGCACTGCATGGCAGTCATCGCAAACACGCACCGAGCAGTTGTAGCCGATGATCGGCAGCGGTAGCCGGTTGCGGCTGCAACGGTTACACAACAGCCGGCCACAGGCACGGCAGTGGTGTCTCCTGGCTCGGCTTTTGCCCGCACACCAACATGTTTTTTTTTGGTTCATACTTACTGAGCCTTGCAACGATTTTGAAAGAGATCCCGGTCAAACAACTTCAGATAGATGCCACTTAGCAACAACACCCCCCCAATGTAAAATAAAGAAACATAGAAACAAAAACAGGCCCCGCGCTCCTTCGAAAGCAGGTGAAGCAAGCGGCGCACAACTGGCAGGCCAGCAGCTCATTGGGAGCCCACTTCGGGGCGATTGGTTGCAGGGAACCGGAAGAGGATGTAAAAGACAGGCCGAAGGAGTTGGTGCGGCTGTCCTTGAGGGTTGGGTGCTCTTAAGCCCTTTAACCACCAAGCTGGCTTCCCTTCAAAAGGGAAGCAACGACCCACTTTCTCTTCAAACCATCGCCCTTGGCTTCCCCTAAAGGGGAGCCGGGCCCCGGGAGGGAAAAAACATGTTTTGCCCCAACAGCCCCGCCTTGTTGGCATCCAGCGTCGCAAAGGCCAAGGATGGAAGTGCCACCTTGAAGCAAAGGCCGGGGTTGTGCTAGGTGTCCTTTTAGGGGAAATAGATGGGTTCCCCTGGTAGATGAGTACTCCACCAGGTAAACCAGGGATCGCCATCTATTTTTCTAGCAAAACAACCAAAAAGGACACCTATGCGGGCTATACGAGTTGCATGCTGGGTGAAGAACAGCGTAGCCGGGTGACGCTTCTTGTATAGGCTGGTGTGCTGGTTGGCTTGCCCGGATACGCTCATTGCACGCAGGCTGGTTGATTTGTTGTCTATCAGTCGCGCGAAACTTATTACACCCGGACTGATGCTTCTTGCACGGCAGTTGGTGCGTTTGTTGACCATCAGCCGGGTTAGTTGTTTTGTTTGTGCACGGTGGCAGTTGCGTTTGTTGACTCGCACTTGGGTTGTGCTTATTGCATGCTCATGGGTATTCAAGCACGGCGGCTTGTGCACTTGTTGACTCGCAGTGGAGCTATGCTCATTGCATGCCGATCGATGTTTAAGCCCGGCGGCTGGTGCATTTGTTGACTCACAGCAGGGTTCTGCTCTGCTTGATGCATGCTGCTAAATGTTCAAGCACCATGGCTGGCACCAGGCTATGCCGAATGCAAACAAGCCGATGACAAAGACCCCCCGCCCCGGGCAAAAACTGAAGCATGTTGTTGGTTGAGGGGGGGGGGGAAGTGGAGAAAGCCAAAAGCCAAATTGACAAAGCAAAACGAGTTGGACTAAGCTCGGCAACAAAAGGAAGCAAAAAAAGTAAATTAAGTCTGGGCACCAGGGCCTTGGTGAAGGTCTCTTTCTCTAGCAGCTCTGCCCCGCTGGACAGGAGCCAAGCGTTGGCGAGATCCATCTGACCAGTGGCCCGCGCCAGTTCCTCGAAGTCCCTCTTCGAGACGCCCGCCCCCTGCTCCAGCAAGCAGAAAATAAAATCGATTCGCTCCTGCAGGGGGTCGATTCGCGGAGCAAACTTGAAACATCACCATGCCAAAGGGAAGATGTTCAAAATTGAAGTGCCCTGGAGCAAACTTGAAACATCACCATGCCAACAGGAACATGATAGAATTGAAGTAACTTGAAACATCACCATGCCAAAGGGAAGATGTTAAAAAGTGAATCTCCAGGTGCTGCTTCCACCTAAAACGAGGATCCCCGTCCTGGGGCTTGTCCCCCAGAAGTAGCACGAGAGCAATGAGAGCATGTTTCAGGAACACATGCCCTGCCCTAGACGCATCCAGGTCCAAGACCACTGCAGTTAAAAATGGTCGGACCTGCGTGTCTCTATCGAATGGCGCGAACGCGGGGCCCGCGATTTTCACGAACTCGGCTTCTGTGACCAGCTGGTCGCCAGATTGTTTCCACAAGCCTTTCCTGCAGCGCCGCACAAGTCATGCACAATCAAACAAAGTCCCGAAGTCACCCAAACCTCGTTTTGGGGGGAGAGCCCTGACATTTAAAAACACCCTTCAAACACGCCCTTTAGGAAGACTCAACCGAACCGGACTTGGAGATGTGCTGGGATGAGCAATGTGTTTAGGGAATGGCATGTTTCTGAGGGTGCTAGGAGTCAGGAACTGACAATGGTAAGCACCGCAACATCAACACGAAAACAATCAAGCAGTCCACATAACTCTTGTGCAAGCGTCAATTCCTGGAGCAGGCGCTGGATAAGATCTGGCTCCTGACCAGCAATTCTGCGAACTTCCAAAATGTAACTAAAAACGCAAATGTCGTGCAACAACAACCATGGCCAGTGGACACACCAAATTGCACACACCTTTCATAGGGAAAGGGGGACCAACTTTAGAGAATCGAAAGGAGGACCTCCCACAACGCGGGCTCCTGAAAGGACTCCTCCCCCCCCAAAAAAAAATGCCTTTCAAGACTTCCAAATTCGGCTGGCCAAAGTGACGCCCCGCAAAGCCCAAAGGCAAGTCCTGCATGAGCTGGCCGTGGAAGGCCTGCGCAGCGCCCCGGGACCGCAAGGCCTTGGCCTCTAAGCCACGGTGCCGCAGCCGCTCCTTCGGCGGAGTGGGCAGAGTTGCAACTTGCTGGTGCGTGATTCCCTTTTTGGATTGCTTCGTCAACAGGAAAGAAGCGAGACAAGGAAAGAGGAAAGGACAAGCATTAGATTGAGGATTATTTTTCCTATGTTGTGTCTCTTTATTTTGCCTTTTTGTTTACATCTTAATACCTTTTCATTTTTATAATTGGAGCGAAGTGACGAAGGAATGAGCGGTGGAAGGTCTTTTCGTTTACAATCAAAAGCCTTTAAGATGCTACATCAAGGATTTTACAGATAACCGTCTATAACCAAGAATTCTTGACCATTGACTGCCAAGGAAGAAATCATCCACTTCTTTCTCTTTCTAATTCACTTCCTTTCTCTTTATCATATTATTTTCCTATCTTTTTTATTATTTATTGTAAACTTTAGAATCTTGGAAATTCATATATTCTATAATCTACAACTTTAATATTTGCATTTTATAGAAATCTTATGGTAATTTATCTTTCTAGTCTTTTGTTATTTACCTTTCTCTTATTAATATTTGTTTTCATATCTATATCCTATTAATAAATGCTGCAAACCAGTTAATCCTGTTTACCCACTGTCCTCTCCAAATCCTGCTCCAGAGACTCACAAAGGAAACGGTGAGAGATGGGGAGAGGACAGACACCAACCGCCAAGAATAAAGTGGCTGGATTCATTCCTAAGCCTCTCCCTCCCTTTCATCTCTCTCATTCTTGTTCCACATCCTAAAGCAATTTGTAGATGGATGTGGATAAAGAATGACAGGTGAATGCGAGGAAACCCTATAGACGAAGCAATTCACCAGGAAACCGCCAATGAAGGAATCTCACCAACAATCACCTCACACCCCATCCCTTTCTCTCCCTTTCTCACCTCTTAATCACATCCTAGACACAGAGGTGAAAGGGAGTTAGAGGGAATGGATTGGATGGAGCGGAGGCGAGCACTCACCGCTCCCTGTCTCCTATCTGCTGTCAGCCATCTTCCAGCATCTAGAATCCCGCCTCTCAGTCTTCTCTGTGAGGCATGAAGGGATGGGTGATAAGCTGTTGACTGGAGAATTCTTCACTGTGCGGCGTGTCTTAGACAAAATCCTTGACCACATCTCCTTCCATCTCTTTCACGCCTCTCTCCGTCTGGTCTCTCTGGTCCCTACCATCGACGGCGTGGAGATAGAGGAGGTGTGAGAGAGTGAACAAGGTGAACGGATGGAGCTGTTCCTTTGTCCCAGCTCTTGGTCTAACCGTTCACTCACCATCCCTCACTCTCTTTCCAAGCCTTTCTATTCCTCACGTCATAGCGGCTTGGCTGCAGAGTGAGGAGAGAAAGAGCGAGAGAAGAGAGCGGGATCGATATGAGAGTGAAATAGCCGTCTACTCGCTTCCTCAGCTGCCAATGAATGCATCTTCCGGAACCTCTATCCACTTCTTACCATTTCCCTCTCGCATCCCTTCACTTCATCTGGATTTCCAAATCCCAAGATGAAGAGGGATGATAGGAAGGGAAAGAGTGAGTGAGCGGTGGGGTGAAAGAGAACCGCCACCTCCTGTTCCTTCCCTACCCTTCCTCTCTTTCCGGCTTGTCTGTCTCGCCTGGAATCGACGGAAGGGAGATGAAGGAAGAGGAAATCATTTGTAACCGCTGGAAAGAACTGGCCAGCAGGTGGTTGACAGTGAATAGGTCCTTTGGTTAACAGCCCGCTCGTGAACTCGCCTAACCGCTATGACGAAGAGATGAGGAATGAGGTTACACCGTCCTTTCCCTTCCGGACGGTTCCAATGTCAAGATTTTTAATGATGGACGAACGAAGAGAGTGGGAAGGATAGAATGCTTCTTGGATGATTTCTTCCTTGGCAGTCAATGGTCAGGGTTTCCTAGAGATAGGCTATGACATGGAAAGAGAAAAGAGATATGGCATTTGAACGGAACCACCCGTTGGATGGTGTCTAGGGGGGTCATTCTGAGAACCAGCGAGGCAAGCTACTCGGCCAAAACATGCCCATCAAACATGTATCTGGGAGATCTCTCTTCTTTCTTTGCAACCCCCCCCCAAAAAAAAAAACTTGAGCCGGATTTGCCAACACCCGTCTTAGCAACCAACCGCAGCCCCCAACCCCCAACCCAAATCATCCAGTTGCACTGCGGGTAGTAAACGAATTGGACCCTTTCTTGCGGTTGATTCCATTTTGCCTGGGGAACCCAACAACAATGGAAACAGGGAGCCCCATGTTCTAATGTATTGTTCTTTTTTGGTGCGTGCTCTACTGAACCACTGCAAGAAGGCGAACCACTGGAACGGGGCTAAACAGAAAACCTGCTTTTTTTTTAGCATGGAATTCGACAAGGAGGGAAGGACCTTTTACCGGTGGACCAATCACTATTGGGTTCATGTAGGATATGGTTCGGAGGTTCATTCCCGCAACATGGGTGGAATCGACACGACTGCGACAAGTCCGAAACGACCCGGTGCTGTCCTCCATCACCAGCAACTGCTTCTGCACCGCCTCGTCCTTACAAGCTAAATGCTTCGCTTCTTGGGTGAAAGTAGCTTGCCTTGTATGTACAGATTGTACAGGATGTTGCTTGCTGCTTGCCTTTTCGTGCGATTTGAAACGTTACTTTTTGAGTAATTTCAACTGAGCTCGTTGTGGGTGAGGTGGGGGTTGAAGACGGCGGCTATGAACCTGCATGGTTGGGAAACGGCAAAAGAAAGGGCATTAAGCAGTGGGGCGGGCGAGGCAAACACAGAAAGCAAGCAAATTCAATTGTGAATGAGTAAGTCAAGTTCGGCACAGCAGGGGAAAAGCAAGAAGCTAACGAGGCAGGCAGGTAGCCGGGGAGAAGGGAAGGGAGGCAGCGAGGAAGCAAACAGGCAAAAGTTGGTTGGGGATGGCCCTAACGTGCGCTTACACACATCCACAAGCACGGAGAAACATATTGCACACACACACATGAATCAACTGCCGCTTTTTGGGCCGGAAACAAACTCTTCAACTTTTGGACTGCCAAAGCCAAAGAAACAGCTTGAGCTGCTACAGCAATCGTTTTGCTTAGCCTGTTTTCCCAGAAAGAGAGACAATGTGGGGACCTCCTCAACATGAAGAAAGGAAATCAACACATATCAAAACATTCGCCTGCCCAAGCATGGCACGGCTGAAGAAAAAACTGGTGACATGGGAAGCACGCCAACCTTTCTCCGAACACTTGATTCAAAAGGGCAGCCCCCCCCCAAAAAAAAATATGTATGTATGTATGTATGCATGAACGTATAGACACAAATATATACATATATATATATATACATACATATATATATATATGGGTACACTTTGATTCCGCGCTCGTTACCACGTTTTCATGGGGGTGTTTGGGGGGGGTGATGGTTTTGTGTTTCCCGGTGTTCTCCGTCGGCGTGTTGCCTTCGTGCTTGGCGAAGACCTTGGAAATGTGCCCCAGCTCATTGCACCGAAAACACCTGGCGCGTGCCAGAAGCTCGGCCTCGCTGCCTTTGATGCTGCTTTCACCATCTCCTCCATCGCGATCACGCTTAGACTTTTTGCCTTTCTTTCCTTTCGACTTTCCGAATCCTTTTGACCTGCCCTTTCTCTTGCTGCCGGTGTGGCGGATGAAGCCTCTTTCTTTCCGCCTTGTCCGCAAGTCCTTCCGAACATCGTTGTAGGCTTGCACATAGATCGCCTCAGCCGCGTCGTACTCCCGGTCCTCAAAACGGATCTCGTTGGAGCCAGTTGACGACTTGGCCCACTCGTCGTGCAGCTCGTATTCATCGGCTTCTTCTCCAACGTTTTCTCCGTCTTGCCAATCGTCTTCTTCTTCATACTCTCCCGCAACTGCATATGCTCTTGCAGTGTTTCCAGACGATGCCATCGGAACCATGGGCCTCGAGAGTGCTTCTAGACGGCCTAGGCTTCTCAACGAGTTCGCAATCTCATCGAAACTCCTCAAGACCTGCGACTTGAGCGAGATCATTTCCTTTTGCAAATCCGTCAGGTTTGCCTGTCTGATAAGGATTCGACCGGCAACAAGTGGCGAAAAGGCTTCTCCTATTTGGCTTTCAAGCTCCTGCTCCTTGCTATAAAAATAGCAAACGTCTCACCACGTCCACGCTCCCCGGTGAACAAGAAGGCGTGCGAACCATTAGACCTGGCCTGCGACGACTGTGATTCGCCGGGTTACACACTGCAAAATAACCAGTTCGACAGCCGGGGCCTAATCACAATTCATACTCCGTGTGGCATAATTTTCTACATCCACTTCTCGCGCTACACATTGGGACTCCATGATCCTTGTCGATTCGGTTTTCCTCAAACCAAACAAGCAACGGCCTGCGAAGGGCGCTCAGAGGTCGTGCAACTTCATCTTCCGCAGACGCCTGCGTTCAACCCGGCAACAGCACACGCCACGTCAACCAAAAAAGGCAGCCTCGCCCACGTAGAAACTCAACGGTGCCGCCTGGCCGCTAATATCCGGACGCGTAAAGCAGCCGATTCAAGATTAAGTGTGGACCAAATGACCCTCGGAATCGACCAGAAAACTTCTGATTCTGCTAGTTGTTTGAGTGGAGTTTAGCTGTGACATAGTAGGTGTTGCTGTGAACCACAGATTGACGAGGTCCAGGGTTTTCTCAGTTTGGGTGTGGACACAATGATTTTTTACTCTTTTTCGTGCGCTGCGCTAGGCCGCTAGATTTGCTTCTCTTGTCGCTTCTAACGGAAGAAAAGCCTAGTAGTCACTGCGCCTGTCCTGTCTTTTTGCAGCGGTACCAGGGCTGAAAGCAAGCGACCGTGGCAAAGATAACAGCACCAAATCAGGCAGATGTCGCAAGAATGATGCGACTGGTGACGCGCTGCGCTGGCAGCACACCAAACCCTGTCACGCCTTCACGGTGCGCGACGTCCACGAAGACGACGCAAGAGTAAATTCGTACCACTCTGTCTGAGAGGCCTCACCATTACGAGGAAGCGGGCCCGCAATCCTTCGTAATGCTGAATCCCGACCTGGTAGGCGAAGCCGTGGACACGCTGGCTGTTGGTGGAAGATCTCACGTGCTACCTAGGTGTTCGAATTAGACACAAAACTGATAGAAAATTTGGAAAATGGCCGTGCCATGCAAACACACATGGCTTGCACCTCCCCCCCAGAAGCACCGTTTAGTGTTGGCCATACTGAGCGCAGCAATCTAAGATTAAGTATTCCTGAGAATGAATTTAGTCTTGGCAATACTGAATTGAAGACTGCGAATCTAGGATTAAGTCTTGGCAGTACTAGATTAAGCATTCCAATGCAAGATGTGTAAGATTCTGAACCTGAGATTAAGTATTCCTGAAACTAAACACCGGGCACATTGTAGTATTGGCAATACTTGATCTAGTCTGGCCAACATTTAATCCTAGCTTCATGGCTGCCTAAGTGCTCGTCTGCGAATGCGCGAGTTGTTTCAAACTACTCAGTTTCGTTCAGGCAATATCTTGGGTCGTACATCTCGTCTAACCTCATCTCAAAAATGTGAATATACATATAGCGGCCCGAAGAGCCGCTAGAATTAGAGAACGTTGTTCCCAACACATATCTCACGCCAAGATAAATAAACAAAGGAAAGCTAGGGTACGCAAATCGGCGAAGCCGCTGCTTGAAACGAACACTGGGGACACAGACACGCGCACAGCGGCCCAACGAGCCGCGAATGGAAAAGCACGGAGCCGCTGCTTGCAATATACATATAGCTGCCGGACGAGCCGCTAGAATTAGAGAACGTTGTTCCCCACTGAGGATCACTTCTTGGGGAATAGCATCAGCTATTTTCTTGGCGTCGGAAAGGTATCTCGCTCCCAAAATGCTAAGGAGTGCGCAGCGTTCCATGTGTTCCTGCCCATGTAGGCATAGATCTCTTCTCTCCTGACAACGCATTGACCAGTTGCCTCATCCAATCGGCCTGGTCTCTGGGATCTCGGCCGGGGTGGCCTTGCCGAGAGCCTGAAACGCTGAGGCCACTGGTGGTTGGGCTGGCTGATCAGCAGGTCTGAATCCTAGCCTTGATTGAAACTCCTGAGCTGTCCCCGCCGGTGGACTTGCCTGAGCTCCTAGCGTGCTTGCCGCCGAGGGGTTCCGGAAAGAAGGTGTCGCTGTTGGCATACTCCCGAAACTCGCCATAGGTGGTGTCCCCAACCCGGGAGCGCTGAATGAAGTAGGTGAGGTTGCCATAGGTCGGCTTCTCGTACCAAGGAGTTGAGCTTGTTCTGCCATGTTGCCATTCCAGAAAGAACCATCTGGGTTCATCATCGGATTTCCGCATTGGCTTGATGCAAAAGCAGCTGGCACGCCGTGGGCACCTCCCATCATTTCTTGCAATGCTCTGCCAAGGTCCGGTCCAAGTTGGTGCTGTTGTACTCCCATACCACCGCCAGGTAGTAGGCCTGTTGACCCGCAAGGACCTTGATTGTCAAAAACGAGAGGCTGCCGTCCAATGCCAGCAGCTTGTTGATCAGGTGGAGCTTGATGTGCTGGTTGCTGCGCAGCCTGAGGGTTGAGGCCAGGGTTCTGCCCACAAGCAGTCGCGAAGACCGACCTCATGCCCATGGGCGTCTGGTTGCAAGCCGCACATCCTCCTCCATTGGGCTGTTGGTTCTGTGTAGCCCCTGGATCTCCAGATGCTCGGCGAAACTGCCGCCAGGGGTCGTTAACCTGTAGAGGATCTTGTTGCTGAGCCTCTTGTTGCAGTTGGCCTTGTACATGCCCTTGACGTTGTCCAGGGGTCATGTGGGCCCTCGTCGCGTCCCCCGACGCCATTGCGCCGGCAATCTGCCCGGTGTGTTACCGGGCTCCGCTACCACGCTGACAAAGTGCAGGGTTGTACAGAGCGCAAGCTCTTTTCCTACTCGTCGGAGCCTGTACGGCTCAAGGCCTGGCAAGCGATACAACCTAACACTCTTGAGTGACTTTCTCATATGTATGAACGTATAGACACAAATATATATATCTATACATATACATACATACATATATATATATATGTGTATGTATGTGTGTATGTATGTATGTATGTATGTATGAAAGTATAGACACAAATATATTTATATACATACATACATATACATTTATACATGTGTGTATGTGTGTATGTATGTATGTATGTATGTATGTATGCATGTATGTATGTAAGTATGAACGTATGTATGAACGTATAGACACAAATATGTATATATATATATATACATACATACATACATACATAAATATAAATATATATATGTATGTATGTATGAACGTATAGACACAAATATAAGTATATACATACATATATATATATATGTATGTATGTATGTATGTGTGTATGTATGTATGTATGTACGTATGTTTGAACGTATAGACACAAATATACATATATATATACATATATATATATATATACATGTGTGTATGTATGATTGCGTCTACGTATGTATGTATGTATGTATGTATGCATGTAGGTATGTATGTATGTATGTATCAACGTATGAATGAACGTATAGACACAAATATATATATATATATATATACATACATACATACATAAATATATATATATATGTATGAACGTATAGACACAAATATAAGTATATATACATACATACATACATACATACATAAATACATATATTTGTATGAACGTATAGACACAAATATATGTATATATACATACATACATACATACATATATATATATATGTATGAACGTATAGACACAAATATAAGTATATATACATACATACATACATACATACATACATACATACATACATACATACATACATATATATATATATATATATATGTATGTATGAACGTATAGAGACAAATATAAGTATATATACATACATACATACATACATACATACATATATATGTATGTATGTATGTATGTACCGGGGTTTAGGGGGTCCGGGCTGAGAGCACGAGAGCACCTGCCCCGTGCCGCTTGCCCCTCGCCCCGGCAAGCCGATCCAAGGCGCCGAGGCTGCGGCGACGCTGGCCTCCGCCGCCGCCAGCACCGCGGAGGCGTCGTAGCTGGAGGCGAAGGACTTCTCCAGCAGCGCCATGAGCTCCGACACCTTCCGGCGCCGAGCTTCGCTTCGCTTCGGCCGCTGGCCGCTGGCGGGTGGCGGTGGGTGCTGGGTGCTGGGTTTGCAGGGCGTAAAAAGTTGGGGTCCATGGCGCAGGTTTTTGCCGGGGGTTGGTTGGCTTCGGTTGGGGTCCGTGGCGCAGTTTTTCCGGGTGTGTTTTGAGAGGGGTAAACACTTCGCTTCGGCTGCCGGGTTTTGCATGGCGCAGTTTCCAGGCGATGTTTTGGGAAAAGTCAGCTGCCACTTTGTGTTGGGTCGAAACTGCCTGTTCAGGTTGGGGTGGTAGAATAAGCATCCATCCCTCCAACACCCATACCTCGAACCTGATGAATGGGGGTAGAAAAAGGTTTCGGTTTTATGGTTTATGCGTGGTTATATACTACAGAAAAGGGTTTTGTAAGGGTTGCAGCGCTTTTATTGTAGGCCTTGCTAAGGACTATGAGAGAACCTCGACGAACCAACCAATATGGCCAATGGGAGCTATCTTCAAGGTCCATAAAGACATTTCCTAAAATCTCACCCTTGAAATTGTTGTTCAAAGCGAAAAGAACTGAACAGCAGTTTTTGGAACATCCGAATGCGGTGTGCCACTCTCGTGGAAAGGGGGTAGGGAGCCAGTCCAGTAGCTCATAACCCTCGGCAAACAAGCGGTGGACCCCAAGTTGAAGCCGCCAGTAACACCTTGTCACTAAGCTTACTTACCAACCCACCGGCTGAACTCAATCCACAGCCCCCTGGATGGTTTGCCCGGCCTCAAATGCGAAATCAGGCAAAATGGGTTTCTTCTTGAATGGGTTGCACCATGGAGCACGGAACATTCGCACCTCCCCCTTTCCCTAAACAACCTGAGGTAGCCTCCCAAAAACACATGGAACCTGAACGAGGGTCCCTGTCCAAACCCGGGGCCACCAGCCCGCAAGCGAGCGGCGTGGTGCAACCGAACTCCCAAGCCGGCTCCAACAAAAAAAACCGTCGAGGGGGCGAAAAAAAACACCAAAAAACGGGATGACACCAGGTGACCTTGACCTAGCCGTGGTTTGTGGACCCCTTGCTTCGTGCGTTGCGGGTCCGCCAAACCGAGGCCTTGGGGTACGAATTCCTCTGCCTCCGTCACCTCGCTGAGCCTCTTCGCGGTCTCAACCGCAAAGGCGGCCAGGATCCGGAGGAGAAATACGCGAGGCTTGCTCGCCTCGAGGAAAGGCGTGGAGAAATGATCAACCTTCTTGTTCAAGGGCACTGCCAGGCTATAGTTTTTGGAGTGGATACTGTCCTATACGCTGCCAACCTCCATGAATACCTCCAAAACTCATAGCTGGAAATGCTCTTGATTTATACACAAGCGAAAAAGAATCAAAGCTCGTCTTCGGCTCAGCGGGGATAAAGCTGACTTCTGGTATCAGGTTGAGACCTGTTGCAAATTTAGTTTACCGGTCATGAAAACTGGTGCTAACCTACTCGGGCAAAGGGCCAAAAACGAATTCTGCACAAGGAGCTGCATCAGACAGGTGATGCAACGCCCAAAATCAAGGGCCTGACACGTCCAAGCTGGATAGGAATTTGGCTATCATAGCAAGCCGTAGGAAAATGGCATCATGTGATGATGCTTCATGACCAGGTACAAAATAACAAATGTATACATCTACATGTGTATGCACGTATTTAAATACAAGTTGAATATATACACGCAACATGACATAACAAATGCAGTAACAACAGAGTATTTAAACATACTGCCCTGGCCGTTGGTAAAACGGAGCGCGACCGGCCCGGCGTGAATACCAACCAACTCGCCGAGTGGCGTGAAGGATGGCCCGCCAGCACTGCAGCGCAGCATCCACCGGCAAGCTGCAACCAGCAAGCAGGGTACACAGCGGCTTTGTGAAGAGGAGGGCCGGAGAATAGTCCTAAGGGTCCCCACATCTAAGTGGAAGTCATGAGGGCCCGCAGCAATGAAAGCGATGGGGCAAAAGCCCGTGGCGGGGTTGCAAGGATGGTCGGGACCCTGTAGGGAATCCAACAGGAATTGCGTTTTGTCAAACATGTTGAAACTCACTGGGGCTCCCCTTCATACAATATTGAAGCAGCCTTGTCCTTGACTTGGCGGCAGGACGGGAATTGCTCCGGCGCAAGCTCCTCCGCCAACCAGTCGATACACTCGGCATCCACCAGAACTCCCTGTAAGCACGGTCGAGTTTAAGCCGTTGTTTGAACTCGCTAAACGATTGTTTGAGCAACCTTCTTTGGTTTTCCTTTGAAGGGAACCTTTGAGGTCCGGTTGTTGCAACCCTTTGCAATCGCAACCCTGCCTGCAATGAATCCCCGAAGTGAGCCGCGGCGCCCTCTACTAAGGCAGCGAGGCACCAGAAGGCATCGTCTCTACTCAGCGCGCAGCAAAGAACCGCCGCAGTGAAGTTCAGGCCTTGCATGTATCCTACTGACGCATCACGTGCGCAGCACATCATCTGTAGGATATCCCGGGTGGCGGCTATGAGGGCTGGTTCCTGCGGGTAGGGACTTGCTTGCAGCAATTTCAACTCAATAAACAAGCTTCATTTTCAAAAGGAGCCTGGAAAGGAGCCCCATGGTGCCCTTTCTCTTCGGTTGCACCCCACGACCAACCCCCCCCCCCCTCACCCCCTCACCCCCAACCCCCGCCCAGTTTGGAACAGCCTGGACCCCCGTCCTGCGGATGTCCCGGACAGGTGCGCGACATATCCTTCTCGATCTCATTGGCTATGGCCCCCCGCACCTTGGAGGCCTGGCAACTGGAGATGCGCACGTGATGTGCCTCCAAGTCTACGGAAGGAGCGGTTGGTTTCGCTTTGGTCGCCCTTGAAACCAATTCCACGAAGATAATAATTATGATAATGAAGGCACTGGACGATACACCTCATCCGTTGACAGGGTTTCTTTTCGGGTTTCTCCTGACATGGCCAGTCCTCTCTGGCTTCCTGTGTGGACCCCTGCTCTGGCCCTGTCAGGGATATAAGACTGCAATAGAAGGAGAGTGCATGTTTATGTTCCAGGGCAGGAGGAGGCCAGGATTAACAGGGATCCGGATGCATGAAAAACACCTGAACACTGCAACTTGTAAATGGTGGTTTCCAACTTTATTTTGGTGTTGAAAAGGCAACATGTTTCAAATGGTTGCAAAATGGAGATCTCTTGAGGAGCCCTGATTAATCAGAGGGGTTTTGCGCGGTTCCGGGTGCTAACCTTGAAGCGGGGTGGGAAATTCAGCATTACGTTTTGTGAGTCGGAGGTTTTGGGAGGTGCCAAGCAATTTTTCGAGGGGTCTTTTTTGTGCCAAGCAATCTTTCGAGGGGTCTTGTTGTTTGCCAAACCTTGTGGGTGCCTTTCAAGTAGCACTTGCTGGCAGTCGGCTGGAAACAAATCGGGGCACCTCTCATCAGAAGGGGTTTCTTCATGAGTCACGTGCCGCCCTCCAACAAAGACGGACCCCAACATAGCCACGGAGCTGCTCACTTGACGACCGGCATACGGAACCGATGGCCCTCCATCCCTCCACCTCCCCGTGGTCGTTTCCCCCGGTGGTCCCCCCGGTCTTCTTGTGCGGCGCCTGGGAGCGGTAGAGCTTGTGAAAGGCGGAGGTCCAGCGAAGGCCTAGCAGGTAGTTCCGGTCGTTCATGCCGCGGAGGTCCAGGCCTTCTAATAGCCAGGTGCTGAAGCCGCCCTTGGCCTCCACCTCCTGACGCCGTCCGGTGGGATGTGGGCTGGGGGGCTGGGAGTCTTGCTTGGCGGTTCGTTCCCACCTTCCCCCCCTTGCAAGAAAAAGTCGCTCCTGCAGCCATTTTTGTCTTGGCTCACGCCACAGGCCGTGCGCCTCCCGGCAGGGTCCGGCTAACTGCCCATTAAACCCAGTTTAAGCACCTATCTGGTTTCCCAACTTTTGCTTCCCCTTTTTTAAAGGAACTGGAGGCCAGAGTTGTTTCATAGCTTTTGCCCAACGCCTCCAAAATCCCCTTGATACAAACAACAACCCTTAAAGCCCGACATGGGGCAAGAAAAAGCCCGCCTCCCGGTCAAACACCGGGAAGAGCCATTCGTCCAACTCCCAGCCCGGACTTCCGGGACTCGCCGCCGTGTCCGTGGCGGCACGTGCTCTCCGGGGCTCCACCGCCCATCTGGGCAGCTCAGCCAGGAGGCTGTTGGAGCGCTGGCTACGCCCCTCCATGACTTAGCCGAAATGGCCATCGCCAATTTCCCAAAAGCCACTTCGATATGCATACACTCATTAGCGCGAGGAAGCGGGGATTCGTGGTTGGCCTCAGAAATACCAGGAAAATGTACATCCAGAAGTCCACCCATCTTGAAGGGTTGCAACTCAAGGCAGGTTGTCCCCCATCCTGGAGCATCACCCAAAAGGACATACACTCACTTCCAAAACTAGCAGCTGACAAAATGACGACTCTAAGCCAATAGGGATGCCCAGAAGGCCAAGATGTTCTCTGACTGAGGCTTGGATTGGGCCATTCCAACCACAAACCTTCGCCCCCTTTCCAACCATCATGAAAATCAACGGGTCCCCAAAAGGAAAGCTTCGGTGTCCCATCCCCTTGGTAGGGCGGGGGCGGGGGGTTCTTTAATTTCTGACCTGGACCTCTGGATCAGCGAGGGCGCGGCAGCAGCTGTAGCTCGGCGACCTCATAGGCGTGAGGGCCAGGGGACATGTACCTGCTGTCCCCAAAGAATTACCCCAACCGCGGCTTCTTCATCTTGGGTCTATTTGAAAAACAATCCTGTCAGGAACCACGGGCCACAGCCAGCTTTTGAGCGACCTTCGGGGCAAAGGTCAATGGCCTGAAAGGTAACTCGCAAATCGAGCCAAGCTGCCCTTCGCGACACATGTGTCAAGCTGCCCAAGAGGGGAAATGTAGGGAACCCTTCTGCAAAGCTGAAGGCGGAAAGCACGGCCATTGGATGTGGCACTTCTTCGGACTTGGTACCGGGGCACAAGGGAAACCAACGGGAAACCAAACAGCCCTCTTGAGGGCATTATCCTGACGTGTGTGCCCCGAATGGCGCCAAACGAAACAGAACCATTTCAAGAGCTGGGGCTTCAAACTGCTCCGGTTCGATTTAGCAGGAAGCTGAAAGGATTTCAGGCGCTTGGCACTGGCCATCTCAGGGACCGGCACTGGTTTCTGGCTCCGCTTGTCCTCGGCTTGATCCATCAACGCCCCATAGCTATGTAGCATCAGAATCCCATTTGGGCTATCTCGACTTGGGGGGGGTGGGCCACAAAATGGGCGACTTGCCCTTGATTGTCCTTCAACGTCTTCCAAGCCACCTCACAAACCAAACGCCCATGTGTGTTTCTGTGTGTGTGCATGCGTGTGAGCGTGTGCATGCGTGTGAGCGTGTGCATGCGTGTGAGCGTGTGAGCGTGTGAGAATGTGTGTGAGAATGTGTCTGAGAATGTGTGTGAGAATGTGTGTGTGAGAGTGTTTGTGTTTGTGTTTGTGTTTGTGTTTGTGTTTGTGTTTGTGTTTGTGTTTGTGTGTGTTTGTGTTTGTGTTTGTGTGTGTGTTTGTGTGTGTGTCTGTGTGTGTCTGTGTGTGTCTGTGTGTGTGTGTGTTTGTGTGTGTGTGTGTGTGTTTGTGTGTGTGTGTGTTTGTGTGTGTGTGGGTGTGTGTGTGTGCGCGTGAGCGTGCGCGTGCGCGTGGGCGTGCGCGTGCGCGTGCGCGTGCTCGTGCGCGTGCGCGTGCGGGTGCGGGTGCGCGTGCATGTGCATGTGCATGTGCATGTGCATGTGCGTGTGCGTGTGCGTGTGCGTGTGCGTGTGCGTGCGCGTGCGCGTGCGCGTGCGCGTGCGCGTGCGCGTATGCGTATGCGTGTGGTTGTGGGTGTGGGTGTGGGTGTGTGTGTGTGTGTGTGTGTGTGTGTGTGTGTGTGTGTGTGTGTGTGTGTGTGTGTGTGTGTGTGTGTGTGTGTGTGTGTGTGTGTGTGTGTGTGTGTGTGTGTGTGTGTGTGTGTGTGTGTGTGTGTGTGTGTGTGTGTGT